GCCAGCTTGAGTGGGCGCTGCTTTTGGTTTGCTCTGTGCCACTCTATCAGACTGCGCCGCACCACGGGGAACACGAGGGGCTCCGCAGTTGCCGCTGGCCTCCGCGTCGCGCTCAAAGGCAGCCGACGGCAAAAAGGAAGTCGCTGAAGGGAAGCCATCACTCACTGGCAAGATCGCACTCACCTCCGGCATCGGTGTCTTCGACTGTTTGCGGCTAAAAGCGCCGCCCACATTGGTCGCCATTCCGCACTTCAACCAAAAAACGTTCTCTTAACGAGATCTAGCTGTGTGTCTCTACACAGTGCTGCTGGGCGTGTGGGGCAGGGGAGAGCGGGAGGCAGTACAGGCAGCAGAGGGCTCACGTGTCGTATCCTTCACAGCGGCACCACAGCGACATGGCAGTTCCCCAAGAGTGCTGCCAATGAGGCACTGCACACAGCCAGGGAGCCGCACAATACATCACTCACATCGATGTGCGATGTTGTATACAGATTGTTAAGTCGTTGGCCCCACTTCCCCCACCAAGTTAGATTGCAAAGAATATATATATATATATATATATATATAATGTTTATGTGGGCCTGGATGCATCACTTGCCAGTGATATGCAATAGCCAGATACGAACAGGAGTCTTGACTGATTATTGCCACTCACGCTCTTCAGAACCAAAAAAATACCCATGCAGATCAACACAACTGCGAAACAAATGAGCAGGTCGGCCAGACACTAAGGCCAACGCATAAAGATATCATCGTCACCCTTCGCAATGTAGGGCACCTTGGGGAAGAGGCGCAGCGCCATGTCGAACCACAGGAACGTCTTGCGGCTTATTTGACCTATTCCTCGGTGTCGTGGTGTGGCAGATGCTCATGTCTCTTGGGCCGAGAAGCTGTTCCATTGCCAGTGTGCCATAGTGGTTGTCATGTTCAAAGGTGCTATACTACAGGTGTGGAGGAAATTACACAAAGCATCTTTACCGTTATGAAGTGCAGCATATATAATCCCAATGAGTCAGCGGGAAGGAAAGAATCAAAGAAAGAAAAATCGTTTGGTTCCCTTTGTCACGCGTTGTGTACCAGGTCCTCTAATGGGATGGAGATTCTCAAGGAGGAGTGGCGGACATGAAGGAAATCGATGGGATGCGTAAAGCACTGCGGCGCGTGCGTATGGAGTGTACCCCTCGCCTCCAGAGTGTCACGATCCCCACAAGAAAACGAACAAACAACTTCATTCCCCCTTCACTTACCATATGTCTCTCTCTCTGTGTGTATGTGAGTGTACGCATCGCACGGTCTGCATCGATCGTGAGGAAGGGATGGAGAGCCGCGAGGCTTCCACACCTCTGAACGCATTTCTTTTTCCTGTTGTCTCTGCGTCAAGTAAACCCAAGTTGTGACGAGTCGTAAGACACAGCTTCCCAAACAGACTTCACTTCTAGAGGTTTATATGCTCTCGGCCGTCGGCCTTTTACAACTTCCTTTGCTTTTTTTTTCTGGTTCATTTTGTCCCTTCCCCCCCCCTCACCACTCAGGCCTACATTATCTGCTGCTGCGTTGCGGTGCGCCGCCTACTTCTTCCCCGCCTTCCCCTTGAGGCGCGCCATGTACGACTCAAGGCCCTTCTGCACCTCCGGATTCATCATGAGCTCCACGACGAACTGCGTGTCGTACTCCCTGTCCTCGTCGGTCGCAATCGCCTGCAGGTACTCGCGCCGCATCATGTCGCGCGACATCCACCGCGACTGCTGCGGGATCGCCATGAAGCGCTCTGCCTCCCTCGCCGCGGCGTCACGCAGCTGCTCCTCCTCCACGACAGCGTCCACGAGGCCGAGCTTCAGCGCCTCGTCCGCCGTCGGGGTTTCGCCGAGCTGCAGCATTCGCTCCGCATTGCGAGAGCCGACCACGTACGCGTACGCTGGTATAGCCCACGCTGGAGCCGCAATGCCCAACTTTGTNTCATTCATGCCGATGCGATACAGACGCTCCGGCTTTCCTGCAGGGTGACGGGACATGATGCGGTAGTCGGCACCGATGGCCAGAATGCAGCCGCCGGCAGGTGAGTTGCCGTTAATCGCCGCAATGATTGGCTTCGGGAAGCTGTTGAGAATCAACCACGTCTCTTGGAATGCCTGCCAGAAGCGGCGGAGTCGCTCGGGCTGTGGGTTGTACATCTCACTGATGTCCAGGCCCGCCGAGAACACGGTAGGGATAGACGATGTGAGGATGACCGACTTGCAGCTCTCGTCGCTTCCAAGCCACAGCATCCACCTGTTCAGCTCCTCAAGGAGCTCCAAGTTGAGGGAGTTCACCGGCGTGCGACTGAGCTGAATCGTTGTGATGCCCTTGTCGTTGGTGTCGATCTTGAGCATCTTCGGCGGCTCAGCGGGCCGCTGCGGTGGCTCGAAGTCTTGTTCCGCTGCACCATCGACGGCTGAATGCTGCTGCTGCTGTTGCGGCGGGGCACGCAGCTCCGGCGGGACACCGCCCGGTGGCCCCTGCCGCGTGCCTTGCAGCCGCATGGACGTGTTGAACGCCAGCGCCACCGCCGCCGCGGCAGTTGCAGTCGTGGTAGCAGGCACAGCGGCCGATTGGGCGAAGCGACGCCCGAAAAGGCACGATGCAACAGCGCGACGCATGTGCGGATGTATCTGTGGATCAAGGCTTGACTTAAAGCAGTAAAATGCCCCGCAACGGTTATAGTGCAACAAGACGAAAAAAAAAAGGGAGTCAAAAATGACGAGCGCAATGAACGGCAGCACCGATAAAACATGAGCACAGACACAGCATGCTTACGGGGACAGGTCGGATTGACAAACCAGGAAGCGTTGGCCTGCGGGCAAGTTGTGGACGGCGTCAGGGGCGCCGAACAGCCGTCACCGCACCTTCCACGCACCCGCGAGTGCAGAACTCCGGCCCATTCCGTTCGGTCTTGAACGCCGTCGGCGCCCCACCTTATGCCTCCACGTATGCCAGAAATTGAGCTACTGTGACGTATGGCGCCTGTGTAGAAGCGCTCGCGTCCCAGCTGCCGTCTCCACCCTCGCCATACGCCTCCACACCGGCGCTCCCACTGCCGTTCGTCACTTTGTCCCGGTACATGCGCTGCATCCGTTCCCTGAAGGCGGCGAGCCCCACGCCACTCACCACATTCCGCAGCGTATTCAGTGCGCTCTGGTAGGAGTGCCCGGTGAACTCCTTGCCCTTCTCCGTGTCCACCACCACCACCACCGCCCCACGAGACGACACAGCGGAGGAGGGAGGAGAAGAGGAGGTGGGAGGCAACGAAGCAGCGGCATCACCGGCCGGTTTGATTTTACGCATCGGCTTTCCCAGAATTACATCCCCAAGGCACTGCTCCAGCAGTTGGCAGACGCCCTCCTTCAGAACAAAGGACATGCCAAGTGCATTTCCCATCCAGTGGTGCGCCAGCTCGTGCACAATCAGTTCCACTCTGGTAGCATCATCAGCGCCACTGGCTCCTGTTGCGTGCTGCTTGCTTGCCCCTTTTGTATTGCCGCCGTTGCCCGATGACGATCGGTAGATCTTCTCGTTGAGAAAAATACAGCCGTGGTGCTCCATACCCGATATGTACGGCATCGTCGGGGCAACGACAACTGTGAGCATCTCCTCCTGCTGGTCGCAGCCGTCGGAGAAGGGAAGCTGCTGCAACGGTAATGGGGATGCAAAAAAGTCTTCCAACAGGCGCACAGCTTCCTGCACCGTGTAGGCGATTTGCTTCAGCATGGCTTGCGTCACTCCACTCGACGTGCCCGCCATGACGCGCAGAGGCACCATCTTCGTCGCACCGTTGTGAGTCCCATGAATCCCCTCGTCTGCTGTGTCTGGAGCTTCGCGCAGCTGCAGGCTCTCCTCCACCACCTCCACCGAGTCCGTGAAGGCGGCAAAAGCAAGCACGTAGGCGGGCAGCGGCCCCACTGAGGCAAAGACATATTGTGTGCTCTTACTCCCCAGCGTTTTCCTCGCAAGCTCAGCCGTGTTGCTTGCCACCACGTTGTAGCATGAAGGCAACTGCAACGACTGTAGCTGCCACATCAGGCGGTAACACATTGGGTCGTCGGGGCATGGGAAGGCGAGACGGGCAAGCGCGACCTCGAAGTGTGTCAGCAACACACCATGCGTTGCTGGTTCTGCTGCCTCGCTGTTATCGTTGGTATAAATGCCGCCCTGATCCCACGCCTGAATTTTACCTGTGAAGGTGACGGACAGCACGACGGTGGTGCCGAGCGGCATGCTCGCGCCGCCCTCGAAGAAGACGTGCTTCGAGCCAGGGTCGGCGTGCTGCGGCTTTTCCTCCGCGCCATGGTGCCCGCAGGAGGCCCCGTGCTTGGCACCACCCGACTTGTCCTTCGCTTTGTTTCGGCGCTGGTTGTCAGCCTTTGCTGCACCTCCGCGTGTTGTTTCACTGCCACCGCCTCCACTGCTGTCGTCATCGTCTTCAACTACTTTCAGCACCTTCAGGATGCCTGAGCCGCTGTACTGCTGCACCTTGACTGCGTGCAGAACAAGAGGCTGGGCCTTCGGAAAGGCGCGCACGGGGGCAGTAATAGCGTGAAAGTGCAGCCCATCCTTGTTGCTTTTGATGGCTGCAGGGAACTCCTCACCTGCTGCTGCGGAGGGAACAGGGCGACGCACGTACCGAATCACAGACGTTCCGCTGTACGTGTCGCCTGTCTTCAGGATCGACGAGCGGCCGTCATTGGAGGCGACACCCGAGACGAAGTTGAGCTGCAGCGTGCAGTGCGTTGGGTGCCACTGGTGCATCTCCAGCAGGCTATGTATCAATAAAAGAATAACAACAAAGGGAGCTCTTCAGCTGCGAAAAACAACAACAACAACAACCACAATACAGAAACAATACCGGTCAACTCGCGTGTCTCCTGGTGTTGGTGCCGACCACCACAATCAGACGCCGGTGCTGATGTACCAATGACAATGGGCACGGACGTACATCACCAGCCTCACATGAACACGGAGGGGGAGGGTCAGAGGGAGAGAAAGAGAGAGAGAGAGAGAGATATCGTGAGGCATCGGTGCTGCCTCCTGCAGCCAGGCCCAACACGGCGAAGGACGGTGTGTTTATAGCAAAAACAAAAAAAAATCCACTCATTTTATTTTGTTGACCACCACTACTGTAACGATGGTGGCACATAGCCAAGCCGCAACTCAAACACACGCCAGTGCCCACACAACAGCAAATTGAAAGAGATGCACCGCATCACGCAACATCGGCCGTTGCACCTCCGCTTCCCTTCCCTTCCCTTCCTTCCTCCCCCCAACGTGGGTGTGCTCACACTGGTCTCTCTTGTTGCTCGGCTTCATTGGCATACATCATGCTCGTGAATGGTTTCTCGAAGTAAGCCGTCGCCACGTGGTAGACAAACCCCATCCACGCCGTGAGCGTCACCCCGACGCTGGAGTTCTGCGCGATCGCAGCGCCTAGAAAGTTCATTGTTGCCCCTAAATACATGGGGTTCCTGAAGTGGCTGAACGGAAACACCGTGACACGCCCCTTCGTCGTGGTGCCGAAGTAGTCGCCGAGGTACGTGCCGGTCACGCCGAGGCGAAGGAACGCCGACGCGACGAGTGTCGTTCCGAAAAGAACGAGCGCCGTGCTGGTTGCCTTGAGACCACGCGTGAGCAGCAGCGCGTGCTTGCCGCTGGTGGGGACGAGCGGCAGCACACGGCTGGGGGGATTCGCCGCCACCGCGCGCAGGAACGCCGCGTCGCGGAGGGACGAGAAGACAAATATCCACGCGGCCAGCAGGTACGCACCGCGCCGCTTGCTGCCCACAAGCCGCTCCATCGTATGGCGCCGGTACTCGTTGCGTGCGAGGAGGTTCCAGAGCAGCGGCAGGCCCGCGATCGCGGCTCCCGCAATGATGATAGAGCGCCACTCGACCGCCGATGCCATGGGAGCCAGCAGAAATGAACTGCGCCTCTCGGGGCCGTGCGGCTCCTTCTGGGCTTGCTGAGCGTATATGAAACGGCCTTGCAGCGGTGCACACCCCAACAGGGAGAAAGGGCGGAAGCGAAGAAGGAAGAAAAATATACAAAAAAAAAAGGGACTGTGAAAAGCACCTACGAGGGCAACCATCCACACCATCCTTTCATCCCATTAGAATCATTCTTTATGCCTTACCGGGATAAAACCAGAGGCCAGTGTGGCCACTCCTCCTAGCCTGGCGGCAGAAAAACAGTCAATGAGGGCGCGATGAATTCCGGCAGCATATCCACGTTTCCGCTGCGCTCCGCCCGCGCCACATCGTCCAGAGTTTCGGCACCACTCAACACCAACATTGTGCGACAGCCAGCCGCGTTGCCAAACGCAATGTCCGTCGTCAGTCTGTCGCCCACCATGAGGCACTCTCGCGGGTCAGTAATGCCCTCCGCCTCGAAGAGAGCCTTCGCCATATCCACGTGTGGCTTGCCGCACACGACAGCCGGTGTGCGTCCAGAGACGGTGCTCAGCGCACACACCATTCCGCCAGCTCCCGGCAGCAGCGAGCCATCCACACCAACCGGAATCTGCGGATCTTCATTCGTGGCGATGAAGTACGCACCAGCGTGTGACGTGGTGTTGTCGCCACTCTTAGTGCGACTGCCCTGCAGACAAAGAGACGCGCACGCCAGCTTGAGGATGTTGAAGTGCAGGTCCAACCCCACCACCACCGCCGCAGGGGCAAGGTCCGCGAGGGAGATGCTGCCACCAGGCTCTGTCGCGCCGTCCGGCGTGAATGGCTGTTGATGCGGCGCCGGGAGTGTTCGCTCCCTCCACGCCGATGCTACAGCAGGGAGGTTGTAGCCGCCACACTTCTCCGGATCGTTCAGCTCGAGCCCGTACGTGATGTAGCCCGGCGCCAGCACACGCCGTAGCTCTTCGTGTAGGCCCACGTCACCAAGAACGAACACGTTGCGCTCGACCAGACGCTTCACTGACGCGTCGTGCTTGTCAGTGGCGAAGAGAGCCTGAAGCCGCAGTGCGGCGGCAAACGCGCTGTTGTAGACCTCGTGCTCCTGCACGCCCTCGATGCCACGCTGGTGAAACTGCCGCACAATGCCCGCACGTGAGACGGAGGCGTTGTTTGTGAGGAAGCGGATCTGCTTCCCGCACGAGCGCAGGCACCGCAGCGTCTCCGGAATCTTCGGAAAAACATGCGGGCCTGCCCACACCACGCCGTCAATGTCGAGGAGAATGTACTTCACCGACGCCAGCAGCTCCTCCGCGTGCTTGGCAGTGATGAGAGTTCGCGATGTCATTGTCGGTATATGCTCATCCAACCCTTCGCTACCCTTACTCCTGAAAACGAAGATGATCGCTTCTCTTGAGCAAACAGAACGGATAGAGAGAGAGAGAGAGAGAAGGATAGGCGTAGGATAGGAAAGCAACCACCACCACCACCACAACAACAACAACAGGGAAACAAACCACAACACTCGCGCCTCACCAACGGCGAGCAGTCGGAAACAGCATCAGCAGAGAGAAGAGAGGTGCCACCCCGGCAGCAGGCAGCGAAGCCCAACTCCGAAGGGCATGAAAGGAGCGAAGGCGAAGGCGTGTGTAAATACATGATGCATACTCAGCCCCATGCCAAAAGAAAGGGGGAAACCAAAAAAACAAACGAAAACACTCTAAAGAGAAAGCCGACGGTACACACGACATAGAAGAGGACTTGTGTCATGGTGCCAGTTGTGTGCTGGGTGGTAGCGCTGCACCTCCTCTGGACAAACCGAGCAAACAAACNAAAAAAAAAAAAGAGCGCATGCCGGCGTATAAATATGAATGAAAGAAGCAACAGCAACAGCTACGGTAATACATCACTCAGCTTCCTGAAGGCCCCCTCAGCGCTTGCAACATCTTTATCAACTGATAGGCAAAGCACACACACACACATATATATAAAAGAGCTATTAAGCGTATGTGCTCTTTTTAGCCACCAGAAATGATAACCAAACACTCTTCCGTACCCCCTTCGCCCCAGTAATTCACTACAGCTAGTAAAAATACACCGGCACACCATGGATAGATTCATGAGCGTGATCATGACAGACCGACCCTCTTCCGTGAGTATCGGGGCCGCAAACATGCCTCTTACCAACTCCGCAGAGGACACACTACAGTACAGTGCCATAAGGCGCCGATCTATTGGCACCTGATTCACATTCCTCCGATGAATAGGGTTCGGATCTCTGCTGTTTGACGCCCCTCCTTGGCCCTTCCTCATTAAGGGGCGCTTCCTCGTGGCCAACGGCAGGCACAGCGCCTTGCACCTCCAGTCTTACATCGCCGTTCACCACCACCTCCACCCCAGCCTCTGCGCCGCCTGCCGTACAAGATGTGACACTGCTCGCATATCCGTCGGCTGCTACATCACGACGCAACACGTCGTGCAGAGGAGAAGAGTGACATGTTTTATCATCGGCCGGGTCCAAGGCAACGAGAGGTTCGAAGCGATGTGGCAGCATATCAACGGAGGGATTCAAAGAAATGTACGTCGACGAGCCGTAGACTAACGCCGAAGATCTCCGCTGGTAGAGCTGATAGATGGAATTGGTTGAGGCGTCTCGAACCTGCTTTGGGTAGCGAGGGCGAGGCTGCACATTACACAGCTTCCGTGACGACAAGCCATCTGTTTCTGTGTCCCGCAAAGGTGAGAGACTTACGTTAGCCGTGCCTGCCGCATTGGCGTCATCTGTATCATCCGAAGTGCCTGCTACCAAAGATGAGGAGGCGGAGCGCACCAGTGTCAGAGCCACACTGCTGTTGTTGAGGACGCTACGGCTTTCTTCGCCCACCATTATTGCACCTTCTACATTCGCAGAGAACCTGCTTGGTGGTAGTGGCTCCGCTTCGGGGTGCTGACCATCCTCGAACGAAGACGCACAGCACAATAGTTTCCTCCGCAGACAATAGATAGCAAAACCAAGAGCCACAAGGAGCACAACGATCCCAAAAGCAAGGCCGAGGGACATCCCAAGCAAAAAGGGCTCGTCATTCGGTTCTTTAGTTGTTGCGTAATGAACCAAGGATCCATCCGGGATCATGTTTGTGATTCGGTTTCCCTCCGCTGGCATACACACAGAGAGAGCGGTTGCCACTATTAATATCCCTAGAGGCTGAGACCAGTTTTACTGATGGTCGCGGGGCAAGAAAGAAAAGGCATCAGGTGTTATCAACGCTTCACTATCACTTTGAACTCCACAATCAGAACGCAAACCAACACCAAGTTGGAGATACACCAGGACATAGCGCGCCTCCTCCCTGAAAACACAAGTGTTTTTTTTTCGTTTTCTGGCCAATTCCACTTCCCTTCCAATGCGAAGGACGAAAAGCCGCAGCCGCCGCCCCTCATGCATGCCTGACGTGATATGGCGGGGTAGGGGGAGGGGAGGAAGAAAAAGTAAGGCCACTGCGAGAATCGAACTCGCGACCCCCACTTTACGAGAGTGGTGCACTGCCACTGTGCTAAGCAGCCACGTTCCTTGGAGACGCGCTTCCATTAGGGGCGTCATCGTCTTTGGTCTTTTTTTTCTTTCATTCATATGTATGTCGAAGAAAAACGTACGAGGCGAGATCAAACAAAAAAAGGAAACCAAAAGAAATGGAGTTCAGCTGCATTTATTTTGTTTTGTGTGTGAATGTTTTGAGAGCCTGGGAAAAGAATGGTCATGTTTTACCTATTTTTATATGATCCTGCTTCTCGGTTTCATTTTTTTATCTTCCAAGCAAACGGTGTTCGGCAAAGTGTGAGTTTTGAAAACACCCATTTAATCCAACAATCCTCCCCGCCCCTCCGCGCTGGAGGCGGAAAAAGGGCGCTTTCAGAACACCCTTTACGCCAGTTTAAAAACTATGGGAAACGAAATTCGATCCACATATTTTCATTTTCCTCTCTACACCTCTCTTTGTTTTATGGAGAAAGGCAGGGCATAGACTATTCATTGGGGTTTGGGGAGGGAATGTGTATCCAAATGTTGTTCAACTATATTGCTCGGAACGAGGGCATCTTTTACCATTGTTCTGTCTGATTGGAATCTTTTGAATATGGTCCAGCGAAATTTTTAACTTTAATCATCTTTTCAGAGGCCCAACAACAGCCGCGATGCCGCATATGACCGGAACAGCGGGGCGCAATGTACAATCGTGTTGCTGACCCAATGGGGCGCCAAAGAGGGGCAGAGGCAACGCGCCGCGCCTGCTAATAAAGAAGGGTGCCGCCAGTATGTGGGGGGCGCCGTGCCAACCCACCGGGCCCCGGCCAAAAAGGATCCACCCGGCAGGAGTCCTTGGACCGATTCTAAATTTGTCAATAACATGGCGAATTTAAGGATACTTTTCGTCCTTAAATATTGCAAATAATTTTTTGGGTTCTATTCCTGAACGTGGTGAGGGGGGCATCGGGCGTCAAAAGGGGCCGTCTGGCAATTTACCGGTAAACTTGAATAAGCAATATTCTACGGTTCCGGCTGAAATTTGCAATCGCTTAGCGGCGCCCAACCAGCACACCAGGGCCGCCATCAAGCAGTCGCCAGCCCGCGAAAAACGCAGCCGCTTTCCATTGGCAGCAACTAAACGAGACCAACCCTTAATTTCAAACAGGCCAAAACAACGCTGCAGCTGATGCGGCCCAAACGCGGGAGGATCTTGAAAAAGGAAAGGGGCGATTTCGCCAAATGGGGGAAATAAGGCCACTGGCTTCACAGCCGGGGAATGTTTTTCCACTGAAGAAGCCCCTTCCAAAAAACAGAAATCTTGGGATTTATTTGCATTCGAAAAAGGAGTGCCGTTGGGTCTCCCGACCGGCGGGGGGCAATTCACAAAGGCATCTCGCGAATACCTGCGGGGGAAGGGGGCCCAGCGATTTTTATTGGACAGCCGCCGGCGCCACAGGGCGGAATACATAATGCCAGCGATGG